TCAAACCCTCCCCCATCGATAACTACCCATTAGATTACGTTCTATGGATCAAAAATGGATTCAGGGAGTTAAAACCTTACCTTTAGCCATAAGAATTGTGGAAAACGATTAAGAAGTCTCATGGGTTCGTTCCATAGCTCTCAAGGAATAAAATGTTTTTGGGATTTATTTCTGACTTTAAGTCGCGTCTACCCCACCATGGCGGCGCTCACCCGCTACAGCGACCCCGTTCTGGCAACAGAAATCTTTGCCAAAACGGCTTGCACGAAACAATGAGCTATTTTAATAATTCCAAGACCCCATTTCACAACACACCTTCAACCAACGATACTCAGAAATTAGATGTTCACGTCAAGACCAGTTTCAGGAGTTCTACTCACCCGAATTCAATTCCGTAAATTGATATGGATTCCTTAACGTCTTATCTATCTACTCATGTGATCAAATTCATAATTAGATCACCCAATTTCTACCAGATTTTCCTAGACTTTAATGACTCCGATTTTGTCAAAATCTGGACTAGATTGGAAAATTTCAAGTTACTACAAAAAAGTTTTCCGACCCAAAAAATTTCCCGTTGACTTTTCTATAACGACGGAACCCGATCGTTACAGTAGTAAATCCACACTTCATGACTTTTAGAGATTTAAGCACGACTTTAAGGGATTTAAGCATGACTTTAAAAGATCTCATTCATGACTTTAAATGATTAGAGATATACTTACTTTCTATATATACTCATGTTATATGTAGACATATAAGTATCGAAAGATTGGAAAAAAACATTACTGCTCTTTCTCTCCATTTCTTTGTTATTTAATTTTTAATAATTTATTTTATAACACGTTATCAGCACGAAGTCTCTTATAAGGTATGTTTAGATGATATATTTATTTTTATTTTCATATTCTAAGTACAAGTATACATTAGAATATTTTCAGTTTTTATTTCCTCTAAATAATATAAGATGATAGTAAATTTTATTAATTAATGAAAATAATTTTTCTTATTAAAGAATACTACATATGATATTCTTAACTTTCAATGGTTTAAAGTTTATTATTTTAATCTAATTTGACTATTTTTATGACAGTTTTCATCATGTCAAATTTGTCAAAATTGGAGTTCGTGGCACTTGATATTTCTAGAAAAAATTATTTATCATGGGTACTCGATGCTGAAATTCACCTAGACGCTAAAGGTCTTGGTACCACCATTACTGAGGGTAATGCAGCATCGAATCAGGACAAAGCGAAGGCTATAACTTTTTTTCGTCATCATTTTGATGAAGGATTAAAGGTCGAATATTTGACAGTGAAAGATCCACTTGAATTGTGGACTAGTTTAAAGGAAAGGTATGACTACCTTAAGACAACAGTATTGTCAAGGGCTCGTTATGAATGGATACACTTACGATTACAGGACTTTAAAACTGTATGTGAATATAATTCTGTTGTTTATAAAATAACTTCCCAATTAAACTTATGTGGGGAAAATATAACAGATGAGGACATGTTGGAAAAGATTCTTACTACTTTCCATGCCTCAAATCTGGTATTACAACAACAATACCGTGAAAGGGGATTTAAAACGTATTCTAATTTGATCTCATTCCTTCTTGTGGTTGAGCAACATAATACCCTTTTGTTGAAAATCATGAAGTTTGTCCCACTGGAACTGCTCCATTACCAGAAGCAAATGTTGTAGAAGCACATGGCCAGTCTGAAAGAAGACAAAATAAAAATTGGAGCCATAATAATGTGCGTGGATGTGAAAATGGCAAAAAACAATATAATAATCATCGTGGTAGTGGTCATTATAAAAGAGAGAACAATATGAGTTCTCAAAGTAATCCTTTAAGAGGCAATTGTCATCGTTGTGGCATGAAAGATCATTGGAAGAATGAATGTCGGATGCCTAAGTATTTTGTCAAGCTTTATCAAAATTTCTTTAAAAGAAAGGCGAACAAAGGTGGTACATCATCTTCTAATACTCGGGTGTAATCACACTTGACATTTGAAAATAATGTTGAGGAAAGACCTTTGCAAATGTACAATGATAATATTGAAGCAAATTTGGCTTTGAAGAATGATGATTTTAATGACCTCAATGATATTACTCATTTGGAGGTTGAAGACTTCTTTGGAGATCGTAACTGATGTTTGATGTTATTTTATGATGTACAATATGTTGTTGTTTTTGTGTGCTTTTGATTATCATTTTTTTATGTTACTTTTATTTTACAATTAAAAAATAAAATAATATAAAGACCTAAGTTTTCTTGCAATGTTGCTAGTTATCTTATCTCTTATGATGTACTTTAATTTTATGAAGATAAATAAAATTTCTTAGTCTTCAATTGATTCAAGATGAGTAATGGAGATATGTGCCTCCTGGATAGTGCTACAACTCACACTATATTAAGAGAAAAGAAATATTTCTCTCATTTAATTATGAAAGGGGCCAATGTTAATACAATATCTGGGTAGTATAAAAATAATTAAGGGCTCTGGGAGAGCATCATTATTACTACATAGGGGAACATTATTGGCCATTAATAATGCTTTGCATTGTAATAAGTCTAAAAGAAACTTGTTAATTTTCAAGGTTATTCGCCAAAATGGCTATCATATTGAGACTGATAATGAAGGAACTGTTGAATACCTTTATATTTCTACAATAAAAGAAGGAAAAAGATTTGTGCATGAAAAATTACATGCACTTTCTTCTGGGTTGTACCACACAAGTATTGATGTGGTCACATGTCATGGTGAATAAAATGTTTATTAATCATAATGATTTCATAATTTGGCATGATCGGTTGGGCCATCTCGGCTATAATATAATGCACAAAATTATTGAGAATTCACATGGGCACACTTTGAAGAATCAGAAAATTCTTCAATCTAAAGAATTCGCTTGTGTTGCTTGTTCCTAAGGGAAACTGATTATTAAACCATCAGCAACTAAGGTTGGGATTGAATCCCCTACATTTCTGGAACGTATACATGGTGATATATGTGGACTCATTCACCCTTCATGTGGACCATTTAAATATTATATGGTCTTGATAGATGCATCTACAAGATGGTCACATGTGTGCTTATTATCAATTCGCAACATGGTTTTTGCGAGATTGTTGGCTCAAATTATAAGGTTGAGAGCACAATTTCCAGATTATACTATAAAGACAATTCCTCTTGATAATGTTGGTGAATTTACATCTCAATCTTTTAATGATTATTGTATGTCCATTGGAATAACAGTTGAACATCCGGTTGTTCATGTTCATACTCAAAATGGTCTAGCAGAATCATTGATTAAACGTCTTTTGTTGATAGCTAGATCATTACTAATAAGAACAAAACTTCCTCTTTTGGTATGGGGGCATGCTATTTTGCATGCAACAACACTTGTGCGCATAAGGCCAACCAGTTTTCATGATTTCTACCCATTACGATTGGCTTTTGGAAAGGAGCCAAATATTTCCCATCTTAATTTTTTTGGATGTGCGGTATATGTTCCAATTGCTCCACCGCAACGCACAAAGATGGATCCCAAAGAAGGTTGGAAATATATGTTGGTTATGAATCTCCTTCTATTATAAAATATTTGAAACCTATGACTGGAGATTTATTTACAGCAAAATTTGTTGATTGTCATTTTGATGAATCTGAATACCCAACATTAGGGGTGAAACATAAGCAATTGAAAAATGAGATAAATTGGAATGCAATATCACTATCTCATTTATATCCTCGAACAAATTAATGTGAACAAGAGGTTCAAAATGTGATTTATTTGTAAAATATTGCAAATCAACTGCCATATGCATTTAAGGTTACTAAATCTCATGTTCCAGCTGCAAATACTCCACTACGAGTTGATATTTCGACAGAACAAACTGTTAATGCAAATGAGTCTAGACCACGTTGAAACGTGGTAGATCAATTGATTCTAAGGATAAAAATCCTCGAAAAATAAAAGGAGAAAATGATCATAATATGAAAGTGAGTGCTCAAGGAGAGACTCAAGTCATAACAAATGACGAGACAATAGAAAATGTTGAGATATCTGAAAATGAAGAGATCTCAATAAGTTATGTCTCGACAGGAAAAAGGTGGAACCGAAATGATGTTGTGGTTGATAACATTTTTTCTTATAATGTTGCTACTGAAATAATGCAACAAGATGAGGATCATGAACCAAAATATGTCGATGAATGTAGACAGAGAAATGATTGGCCAAAATGGAAGAATGCAATTCAAGCAGAGTTGACTTCACTTAAAAAACGTGAAGTTTTCGAATCAATAATCTGAACACCTGAAGGTGTCAAGCTAGTGGGGTACAAATGGGTTTTTCAGTGAAAACGAAATGAAAAAAGTGAAGTCGAAAGATATAAAACACGACTTGTGGCTCAGGGATTTTCGCAAAGTCCTGGCATTGACTATGTAGAAACATATTCTCATGTGGTAGATGCAATTACCTTCAAGTATTTAATGATCTTGGCAGTTCATGAAAATATTGAAATGCACCTAATGGACGTGGTCACTGCCTATTTATATGTTTAATTGGGCCACGATATTTTTATGAAAATTCCTGAAGGATTCAAAGTGCCTGAAGCATACAATGATTCTCGAGAAACTTGTTTAATAAAGCTTCAAAAATCTTTATACGGATTAAAACAGTCAGAACGAATGTGATATAATCGCCTTAGCAAATATTTGCTAAAAGAAGGATTTAAAAATGACTCAATTTGTCCTTATTCTTCATGAAAAGGTCTGGATCTTAATTTGTCATAATACTTGTATGTGTTGATGATTCGAATATCATTGGAACACCTAAAGAGCTTTCAAAGGCAGTAAAATTTCTGAAAAATGAATTTGAAATGAAAGACCTCGAAAAGAATTTTTTGTCTTGGACTACAAATTGAACAATTTAAAAATGGGATATTTGTCCATCAATCAACATATACTGAGAATATATTAAAGAGATTTTACATGGATAAAGCACATCCATTGAGTAGTCTGATGATTGTGAGATCTCTTGATATTAATAAAGATCCATATCGACCTCTTGAAAATGAAGGTGAACTTGTTGGTGCTGAAATACCATATCTTAGTGCAATTGGTGCATTAACATATCTTGCTAATAATTCTAGACCAGATATAGCGTTCTCGGTATGTTTGTTAGCAAGGTTTAGTTCTTCTCCAACACGAAGACACTGGAATGGGATTAAGCATATATTCAGATACCTCCGAGGGACTATTAATATGGAATTGTTTTACTCTAGTGAATCCAACTCACAACTGATTGGTTATGCAGATGCAGGATTTTGTCTGATCCTCATAAAGGTCGATCGCAGACATGCTATTTATTTACATGTGGTGGTACAACTATATCATGACGTTCAACAAAACAAACTATGGTTGCCACTTCTTCAAATCATGCAGAGTTAATAGTCATTCATGAAGCAAGTTGGGAATGCGTTTGGTTGAGATCAATAACTCAACACATTCAAGAAATATGTGGCCTTTCTTTGAAAAGAGATGTTCCAACAATATTGTATGAAGACAATAGTGCATGTATAGTTCAACTAAATGGGGGATACATTAAAAGAGATAGAACAAAACACATTTCACCAAAATTATTTTTCACTCGTGATCTTTAAAAGAAGGGTGATATAGATGTTCAACAAGTTTGCTCAAGTGATAATTTAGCAAATATGTTTACTAAGGTGTTGCCAACTTGCCTTTGGGAAATTGAGATACGAAATTGAAATGCGTCGTCTTCGAGATATTAAATGATGTTTTAATCAGGAGGAGTAAATATGCGTTGTACTCTTTTTTTCCTTAATCAAAATTTTTGTCCCACTGGATTTTTTCTTGATAAGGCTTTTAATGAGGCAGCAAACAATGCATATTAAGAATAACTATGTACACTCTCTTTTATTCTTCTAGCTTATATTTTATATATGGACATCCAAGGGGGAGTGTTGTAAATAATGAAATGTGGATATCATATAACTTTAGAGATTTAAGCATGACTTTAAAAGATCTTCTTCATGACTTTGAAGGATTAGAGATATACTTACTTTCTATATATACTCATCTTATATGTAGACATATATGTATTGAAAGTTTGAAAGAAAAACATTACTACTCTTTCTCTCCATTTCTTTGCTATTTAATTTTTAATACTTTATTTTATAATAGAATAAGGATTTAGGTGCATAAAATTATTTAATGTTGTTTTGATTTTCCAAGATCATAAATACTACTCTCTTTTTGTCCCATAAAATTCACCGCTGGTTTGACATATAGATTAAGAAATAGTAAATGATATGAGTAATTTTATCAAGTCACATTTATTAAATATAAGTCATTTAAATATTAAAAAACAAATAATATTTAATAGTACGAGTAACATATACATAATATAATAAATTATTTATTGATTTGATAAATTAAACAAGTATTATTAAATATCTCAAAATAATATTATGAACAAATAAAAATAAACGGAAAAAATATATTGAACAATCTCAACTAACAAATATTTCAGTAACCATCACAACTAAAAGCGACCAAAGAAAATATTCGTATCTGAAATTTAAATAATTGTCTGTCATGTATGATCTAACTCCATTAATTGTTGTGTCATACTTTTAGGTGTGACTAATAATTGATAGTACTACTTTAAGATGGACATCAATTCATATAGGCTTGAGATAAAATTTACACGTATGAAAATTACATAAAAATATATTATTACAATTAGAGGCGGAGTCAGAATTTTAGATTAGTGGGTCTAAATTTTAAAAAAGAACAACGATTTAAACATAAAGTAACAATCATCAAATTAACAAACAAATACAAGTACCTAATTTACTAAAAAATAATGAATTACTTAAACATTATATAAATATAATGACTATCACCTTTAAATACAAATTTTGAACATTTTTACTATAATCTTCAATATTGTTCTAAGTGAGGTTAAAATTATTGAATTCACCATTAATATTGCACCTAATAAAACAAATATTCTACTAGTTTCACTATCACCTTGAACCCTTATTGCCACCAAAAGTTGAAAATTTTGAAAACAAACAACAATTATTTTAATAGAATCAATATCAATATGTGGGATAATCCTAGAACTAAAGATTTAAAATCAATTTTAGAATAGATAATCATTGTAAAAGCAAACAAATAAGAAAAAAAATGAAAAGGGAGAGACAAGAGGACATACCGGAGGTCAGATATTGAATGGTAGCAATCAGATCAACAATAAACTTTTGAAAAAAAAATATTCGGTTAAACTTTTTTGAATGTCTGAGTAGAAATCAATAGTTAGATATTGTTTTAGAGTATGACAAAAATACTATTTTTTGGTTTTTTTCATTTAACGATTTTCTATTTTTTTAGATTTATATAAACCCACGTATGTTTTTAATTAATTAATCCTTATTTTTCTGTTTTTTTTTAAAAAAAAAAAATTATATAATCCGATTTTCTGTTTTTTTTTTCTAAAAAAAAAAAATTCTTATATAAACCCACATATGATTTTATCTTCAGACTAGAAACTATCCCAAAAATAATTGTGCCTACTGAGTTTTGAAGCCATGTCCGGCGGGCTGAACAATTTCATTGGGTGCGCAGACACCACTGGACCACTAAAATAATATATATATATTATTTCATATTTTAATACAAATATAGAATCTATGAAAAAGCCAGTTGGTTCGCCCTCTTCTGATACAGTAGCTCTGCCCCTGACTACAACTCACTATTTCTTATAATTATATTTAGAAATGTATCTTTTAAAAAATTGTAAACAAAGAGAATAATATTGGGCCATAATATTATTTTTCATACAATGTTTGATACTCACATTAAGTATCGGCTAATATCAATTTGCAGCACAAAAATGGCGCCCATTAAAGAGCGGAGTGCTATACGAAAATGAAAAAAAAAAAATCATACTAAGAGCTCATTCACAAGCCCTCTAGATTAAGAATGGATGAATCTTATTCATCCCACCACAATCTTCGATAGTAATTAGGAGTAGTAATTAATAAACATATTATCAACAGAGAAGACCCTCTTAGATTAAAACAAATGTCACTTATTTCTTTGAAATAATAATTATTTAATTTTTTTTATTTCGTGTGAAGTTCAAATAAAATACCTAAAGGTTTTTCCGTATTGCTCAACTTCTTTTCATTTCTCTTTCTCTCCATTTTTTACCAACTTCTACTTGGATTAGTGACAAATATCTTAAATTAAATTAAATGGCAAAAATTTAACTGTCCAAAATAAATCTCTATCTATAATTTAAATAATAAATACATTATATATTTAGTTTTAAAAATTATTCTAATCCAATCTTAGCAAAATATTATGGTCTTGTCCGTAAATATAGGGAAACAAGTTTTCTTCCTAATATATTTTCAAGCAAAATGTTTCTTTTATTTTCTTTTTAAATTAATCGTTTTATTGCATTTTGGAGGAAATAGGGAGAAAAGAGGTGAAATAAAATGGGAGAAATACTTTTCTCTAAAAATATATTTCTTTGTAACTTTCTCTTTAAGGGAAAAGGGTTCAAAACACACACAAACTTTGATCGAAATTGTTGTTACACACTCTAACTTTGTGAGGGTCCTATGACCTCCCTAAACTATTTTTTAGTGTATTATTGAGGTTATTATCAGCTTAGTTGGATGAGCAAGTGACCAACTGTCACGACTCAAACCATCGTGATTGGCACCCACACTAACCATCCGGTGGGAGAACCACTACTACAATCCAAACCAAGCAATCAATCTAAAAACTAAGGCATATAAGTCAAATACTAAGGAAAGAAAATAGAGTTTCCATAAACTCTAACAAAAGTTCAACAATACCTAACAAATGCGGAAGAATTAACCTAGAACCTGAAAGTCAATGTACCAAAACTCTACTAACGACAAGTCTAAAAACAAGGGGTACAAACCCCGAAACTAAACAACACCTTAAACAAAAGTTTGAGTCCGATAAGAGTGGACTTAAACAAGGAAGATCCATGACAGCCTAAAAGAACTGGCTCACCCTTGAATCCGGTCAAGCTCATAGTCACCTAGCTGAGGTCTATCAATAGCCACCTGAAGATGCACTGTACTCAACAAAGAAAGAGAAAGTACAGTATTAGTACACAACCATCGTGTACTGGTAGGATCACACAGCTATCCCACTAAGTGTAACATACATTAGTCAATACAACAATATAATCACATGCACATATCGAACATATACAATATCATCAACTTATACGAACAATGAACAACCCATTTTTCAATATCAATCGTCATTAGATATAAACGAACTCATCACAAGTAGATACACAACACAATTCAATGGTCCTCTCATGGAACCCAAACCCAAACAGTTAGCATGCCGGCCGGAACGTGGCAATCCGATCCCATATTTATGCGGGAACGTGGCAATCCGATCCAAGTTATTTATGCCGGAACGTGGCAGCCGATCCTATATTTATGTCGAAACATGGCAACCGATCCCAGTTAGTGTGTCGGATCGTGACACCCGCCCATTCAACAAACCACAATCACAATGTATATTCTCACAATCATACAACAAGAGGTGATTCATGACATACAATTATTCAATTATCCTCATTTACAACAAGCGTGATCAATAATGCAACATTCGCATACATACATGTATCATAATGAAGCAAGAACAAACATACATCATACAATCATAGAATCACAATCATCACCTACCTCGAATCCAAGCTTGAATGGCCCTAAGGCACTTGAATCTTTCCTTTCCGAATTCTTTCCGCTTGTTCTAGGTGTACAAACAACAATTTATATGCAAGGATCAACAATCAAAGGTCTAATTATCCGGATTATAACAAGCCCAATAACCCTAAACCAAACCCAAGATCCTAATACCCAATTTAGGATTTTTTCCACTATAAATTCTAGATCAAAACTCTCCCCCATCGATAATGACCCACTAGATTACGTTCTACGGATTGAAAAACGGATTCGAGGAGTTAAAACCTTACCTTTAGCCTCAAGAATGGTGAAAAACGGTCAAGAAGTCGCTAGGGGTCGTTTCCTTAGCTCTAAAAATTGAAAATTGTCAAATAAGGTCGTTTAGGGGTTTATTAATGACTTTAAGTCGCTTCTGGCGCGCCACGGCGGACCCATCCCGCTACAGCGGCCCCGCTCTAGCGGTTCTAATCCCGCTCTGGCGGCCTACACGGAGACATAATGTTACATGTTCATGCTAAGATCATTTTCGGGAGTTCTACTCGCCCAAATTTGATTCTGTAAAGTCGTACGAGTTCCTTAACGTCTTAGTTATCTACTCATGTGGTCCAAATCATAATTAGATCTCTCATTAATTACCATATTTCCCTACACCTTAATGACTCCGATTTCGTCCAAATTTGGACTAGGTTGGGAAATTCCAAAGTTATTACGAAAAAGTTTTTTGGCCCCAATCTTTCTTCATTGACTTTTCCCTAACGACGGAATCAGGTCGTTACACCAACACTCTCAGTTAGCGCGTAAGGGTGGAATTAAAGTAAAATTAACCCATCTTTATTTGTCATGTGGTAATCCACATCATTCCTCTCTTTTTTCATTAAATATCCTTAACTTTAGTTGTTAAGTTAATATTATTTTTTAATTAGGGAATATATACAAATGTCAATTTTTAATTGGATATTTCCTTTAATAAATTACACTTAGTTATTAATTATCATTAATATTTCTTCTTCATCAAAAATCCAGTCGCTTCACTTTGTCGATCCCGACAACGGAAAACTGTGCCGACATCGACAACGAAAAACTCAATCGCAACAATTATCAAAAATATAATCACCACCACACGAGTACCATGTACCTCCCTCAATCGTAACAACTACCTCCACACAATCGAAATTGAAAATATGCAATGAACTGGATCTACAAATTTTACCATTTTCAAATTTCGCCACCACCGAATCGTTATCACTTCGCCATCATCACAAAAGAAAACTCCATCACCACCAAAATGACAAAGACGACCACAAAGTTTTAATGTTTTTAGAAAGATAGACAATTTATATGAAAATTTATAACCGAAAAAACTCATTACTCGTTAGAAAGAAAACCCCAATGTATATATTGGTTTTTCTACTGAATGAATTTCTTATAGAATTTTTTGTTGATGTAGTTTCAAAGGAAGTTTTTAGAATGTTTTTGTTGGATTTTAATGTGAAAGTTTTCATGTAAGGGTCTAAATTGAAAGGATGGTGTAATGGTAGAAGAAGGTATAAAAAACATAAAGAAAAAATAGGAAAAAAATTGAAGAAAATAAAATTAAAATGATAAATATAGTGACAGACGTGTGTGTGCCACCTTTTGAATAAAATCTTGGTTTTGACCTTTAAAAGAGGTAATAATTCCACTTCAAAATAATACTGCGGGGTCATAGGACCCCCGGAAAGTTGGAGTGTGCAACAACAATTTCGGTCAAAGTTTGTGTGTGTTTTGAACCCTTTTACCTCTCTTTAACATTAGCTATTGTTAATGCCACAAATATTCCAAAAAATTAATTGAGGTACACACAAGCTAACCGAACATCATATTTAAAAAAAATGTATTTGATAACGGAGGGAGTAATTAAGAGCAAGAAATGGTCTCCAATATTTGGTAGAAAATTTGAAGAAATTGCTGAAAGTTCCAAAGAAATATTGCATTATTTCTCCTATTTATTTCACTTTTTTCTCTCTAATTTTTCTAAAATGCATGAAAAAGATTAATTTAAAAAGAAACTAAAAGAAACATCATGCTAAATAAAAGTTTAGGAAGAGAGCTATTTCCCCTATATTTATGGACAAGATAATGTGTTGCTAAAATTGTGGGATTATAATAACTTTTTAAAAGAGAAAATATATAATATATTTATTAATTAACTAAATTATGATTAGAGATTTACATTAAGAAATTAAATCTTAGTCATTTAATTTAACTTATGTCATATATCACAAATTCAACTAGAAACTTAGGATAATCGAAAAGAATGAGAATAAAGAGGAGCCAGATCCGAGGTAAACTACTCTATAACTTTTGACATTGCATGCGCGGTGTTCCTTATAATAAAAAAATATTAATATGGATGTGAAACAAAGTAACATATTAGCATTTGTAGATAAAAAGCTATTTGTATTTTAGCAAAAGACAACTTCGGAAAACTTATAATTCATCGAAAAATCACATTTTTTTGAGAATTCATAACTTTTCAATGTAAAAACGTGTATGTTTTTAATATAATATAAATAAATAAATATAAATATAAATAGAAAAAATACTAAATTGAGCGTTTTTAGTTGGGATTTGAGAATATTATAGTAACTTAACATTCAAGTTAGGAGACATTTTAAGTTGAAGGTAATAGTCCCTCCGTCCAACAGTAGTTGTCCACTATACTATTTTGGGATGTCCAACAATACTTGTCCACTTTATGAAATTCATGGATAATTTTACACTTATCATTAATTATAGTCATTTTCCTATCACATTTTTCAAGACATTGTATTTATTATATTCAAAGGATGATATAGTAAAACTACCCTTCTATTTATAGTTTTTTAAGAAGTGTGCAAAGTCAATAGTGGGCAAGTATTGTTGGACAGAGGAAACATAATATTCCCCTGTCCCAATTTACATGAGTTAGTTTGATTTGATACGGAGCTTAAGAAAGAAAATGAGACTTTTGAAATTTATGTTCTAAAATGAGTGATAGATATATGTGTGTGGCAAGAAATTATTTCATTAAAAGTAAAAAATGAACATTTTAAAGTTCAATTGTTATTAAATATAGAAATATGTCATTTTTTTTTTTTAGAATTGACTAAAAATTAAAAAAAATCATAAAATAGAAAGACTAATTTAACATTCAAGTCACGGATTTCATATTTTTAAGATAGATATAGATATAAATAGATGATGATATGACAATGGATGTGGCTAGCTGTTATCAATTAGGTCAAGTTGTACGTATCAGTAAATAATTATAACAAGTTGGAAACAACTTTATAACATGAAAAGAAAGAAGTGAGAGTACAATCCATCTGTATATTAAGTTGTTTGCATTTATGAAGACCTCCTGTTCCTACTGCACACGTACTTGTAGAATATGAAGACCATACATTTATTATTTCTAACAAGGATGATGAATATATGCCCGAACACAATCTCATACCTCTCTTGGAAAAATAATGTGTAAAATGCAAATGATAAAAGTAGCATTGGTAATCATACTATTCTTCTTCTTTTGTAGTAATAATAATGATCAAGTTGAAGGGCAAGTCTCTTATGGTTTCTATGATAAAGTTTGTCCACAAGTGGAAAACATTGTTAGAGATGGTGTTCAATCTATGTCTCTCACTGATCCTACTACTCCTTCTGCTCTCTTAAGACTTATGTTTCATGATTGCCAAGTTCAGGTTCATTTTTTTCATTTCTTAACACATGACTATATATATATACTATACAAAAATATTTCCAAAATTCTTTTAGTTAGTGTGAAAAAGAATGCCTAGTTAGTTTTATTTGTGCTTGTAACTTTCATTGTTTCAAAAATTTACCAAGTTTGAGACACCTTGTCTATCAAGATTACTTAATGTGATTTTTGTTGTTTTTAAAGGTTTTTATATGGATATAATTGTTGTGCAAAGTTGGGTATAGGGTTTAGATCTAGTAATTAATTAGTTCAATGTGAGCGTACGTACACTGATTATTATGTAGTAATATTTTGGAGCATTAGTTAGAGGCAAGTGCAACAAACGCTAGAAGATTTGTATGAGAATAATCATAGACATTAAAATCAAAATACTGTAATAAATTAAGGAGAATGTGGCAATCAAAAGTGGGTTCTACTATCTTATCATTATTTATTTTTAATTTACTTTTAAAAAAAATAAATCTTTTAACGTGTTTTCATAAATAATATTAAGACAGATCGTGATAAATTTCTACCTATTAGAGGAGATCTCTTATGTGATAAAGATGGAAATTTTAATTAAAAAAATATGTTTTGGTTCAGGTTATTCAGGTTCATTTTTTCATTTCTTAACACACGGTATATATACTACTAAAAAAAAATTCCAAAATTGTTTTAGTTGTCTACTGCCTAGTATTGGATTGGCTTAAACAAAATACTTCCTCCGTTTCACAAAAGATGACCTGGTTTGACTTGACACGGAGTTTAAGAAAATAAAGAAGACTTTTGAATCTTGTGATCCTAAATTAAAGTTATGTCAAATGTACAAAATTGTCCTTTAATCTTGTGACCTTAAACATGTCACATGGAAAACTGAAATTAAAATGTTACAAAAAAAAGAAAGAGATCATTCTTTTTTAAACAGCCTAAAAAGGAAAAGAGGTCATTCTTTTTGAAACGGAGGAGTACTACTTTTAAACAGTAACTCTTTAAAGTGTTGAAACTTATTTTAAAAATAAGTAATTATGCGTTTGGATAAAAGTGTTGCAGTTGAAAAAAAGTTGTTGATATGTTTGGCAAATAAGTGTTGTAAACACTTTTTTTTTATCAAATTGTCTAAAATACCCTTAAAACTGTTAACATAATAAAAAATTGATTAATCTAAGGTTTTTAATTCTAAAAAAAATTAAAATAAAATTAATTTATATTTTAATTCAATTTCAATAACTTAATATTTAAGTTAATTTTAAATGTGCAACTTATTTTAAATTTAAAAAATATATAATTTGAATATATCACATGAAAGAATTTGGGAATTGTTTAAAAGAATTAAGGGTAAAAAAGTAATATACTTGATCAAATAAGAATGACTTTTAAGTTAAAAATAAATAAATAGAGGTCACTCTACTTTTAACTTTTGACTTATTTTAAGTCGTTCTTATAATTGTCAAACACTCTCCCAAGTCAAAAATTGATTTTTAAGTCAGTTTGACCAACTTAAAAGTCCATCCAAACGGGCACTTAGTTTTGTTTGTGCTTGTAACTTTTATTTTTCTAAAATTTATTTACAAAGTCTGGAGACACCTTGTCTATCAAGATCACTTAATATGATTTTTGTTGTTTTTAATGATCAACTATTTATTTAAAGCATGATAAAGTGGTACAATATTTAATCAGGAGGTTTTTATATCGATATCGTTGTGCAAAGTTGCATATAGAGTTTAGATCTAGCAAATTAGTACAATGTCAGCTAGCGTACATAGTTTATTATTGGGAAGCTTACAAAAATGATTATAATATGGGCTTAATTAGAGATCTATAGCTATAGTTTGCTTAATTACGAATAATAACTACATGTTAAGAGTGAGAGAGAGGCGGTGAGATCTAGGAGAAGGAGGAGAGAGATTGAATATATGTTGTATTCGTTGTATGATCAGGTTGTATCATGAATACAATTGATACAACTAATTTGTATCAAAACGAATACAATTATATTCATTTTAGGTGGAGAGAGACGAGCAAGATCGAGAGAGGGAGGAGAGAGGATGAATACATGTACTTGTATTTGTTGTATCAGGAATACAAATACAATTGATACAAATACAAATATAATTATCTAAATACAATTGCTTTGTATCATGTATCGAATATAATTGTATCAATTCTATTAACAAACACAATTTGTGTCAACAAATATAATTGGCAGAATACAAATTGTCATAATACAATTGATACAAAATACGAATACAGTTGATACATAATATAAAATATTGTTGATAACATGGAATACAAATACATTTGATACATAATACAAAATACAATTGAATGTTTTTTGGGCTGCAACTATTTGGGTGAGAAAGGAGAGAGGCAAGAGATAGGTAGAGAGGAGAGACAAATTTTCTATAAAATCTTACATGTAGCTACACATTGCAATATTTTAAACTATAGTGGTTTATCGTAAATACATATGAGATGTTTGCTTTGTTGTGTAAACAAATTGTGGCAGGGGTGCGATGGTTCGATTCTGGTGGATTTGGAGAGCAATTCATATTACAAATCAGAGATGAGATCAAGCAGAAACTTGGGAATCAGAAAGAGAGAAGTAGTGAATTTGCTTAAATCTGTTGTAGAAGCCCAATGCCCGCAACAAGTATCGTGTGCTGACATTCTCATTTTGGCTGCCCGTGAAGCTATTTCTGTTTCTGGTGGTCCAAGAATTGATGTTCCTTTGGGCCGCAGAGATTCTTCCAATCCACCAAATTCATCGTTAGCAGATTCCTCACTTCCTCCCTCAAACTTGGGAGTCAATGACATGCTTCAACTTTTTGCCCAAAAAGGACTCTCACTTGAAGAATCTGTTGCCATCAATGGTACGTACCTACCTATATATGATATTTCATCTTTAGGTTTTGTCATTGGAACTTGTTAAAACATTTAAATTATAGGTCCAAAACTAAGTATATTAAAAAAGTTATTACACTATTCCTCATGATCTCGAGTGGAAAACATGAATTCACATAAATCTGGTGACCCCTTCGTGAATACGCCCCTATATATGATATTTCATCTAATGGTCCATACTAGAGTCTAGGGGATATCTTTGAAATTTTGATTTGACATCATCGTTTGCGTTAGTTTTTGAAATATGAACAAATATTTTATTTTAGATTATTATTTGAAAAGTAGGATTTGAAATTCAAGATTTTGATTTCAATTTATTAAAATATAAAACTTGACTCATAAGTTTCTATATTGGACACAAGACTCATTATTTTAAGTTTGGTAAAAAAAGAACTCATGTTTGATGTGAATAGATTATCTGTACCACGTGGAATAAATATATTAAAGAATAATTAGTCAATAGTATAGTTGATTTTTTGGACCAGTGGATTCTTGTAAATTATATATTATATGAAGTTTTTTATAACATGTAATTGAAAGGGGACATGAATATATATGATTTATTGATGCATCATCTTATATAGGATATTTTGATATCTTGTTCATGAACTATAGTCTGCTTATTTTGGTAAGTTGCTATGAAAGTTGGAGAAAATTTGATTTTCACGAATTGTTTGGTTTTCATGTTTATGAGAAAAAACTTAACTTAAAATATCTAAGTTATATGTCCAAAGAAAAAAATCAATTTGATTTCAAATAATGTCAAAAGGACCTAAATGAGTCCATTCACATAAGTTTAATAGTATGAGCGTAGGTCTTGGCTTCAACTTATCATGCTTACAAATGTTGGTGCAGGGGCACACACACTAGGAATAACACACTGCTTAAGCATCGAAAGCAGGCTCTATGATGAATCAAAGAATGATGAACCCAATGAACATGAGTTTGAGTTGTACTTGAAATTGAGTTGTCCAAAAGGCTCTTTAACCTCAAACGTTAGCTTTGTGCTAAATGAACCTACAACACTCACCTTTGACAATCACTACTTCATCAATGCCATCAATGGCCGTGGAGTTCTCAGGATCGACGCTGAAATCCCTTTTCATCCTCTTACGGCTCCCTATGTACAGCGTTTTGCAGCTGATCAAGATGCATTTTTTAAGGCTTTCTCCTCTGCTTTTGTAAAGCTTTCTACTTATGGGGTTCGCACTGGTTCTCAAGGCATGATTAGAAGACATTGTAATGCGTTGAGTTGATTACATGCATGGTGTGGCGTTACGTTGTTTCTATATATATGTTGCTCAGATCCTCAAAAAATATGTTATACTGTATTTTTGGAAGATTTAGGCAACATATATATTGCCAGTAAAACTTTTAGGGTTATGTATTTCATAAGGAGAATTTGTTAGTAGCTATAGCCACATAATGCGGCATATCTACTGTTTCTATATATGTTGCTCGGGTCTTCTAAATATGCATTATTTTTGGATATCGTAGGACTCACTCTCCTCGATTTTTAAATTGGACACTGGAAGGACTCAAGCTCATCTATACCAAAATTAGACATCGGAGGACTCAAGCTATGCCTGAATTACAAGTATTAAATAATTGAGTGCAAAGAAAGAGTATAATCACAACAAAAGAGATACCATTAAAGGGTATTGTCGTAGAATGATAAAAGTTAAGAAATGGGTTTGAGAACCAGAAGTAAACGCAGGATTTGAAGACTTCGGTTGCACAAATATTATCTTAATTTAGACATTAGTGAAACTTTCAATTACAATTAACGGATAATGTAGTAGTATTCAATTGGTTACTAATGACTCAATGTGATGAAAAATAGCTACCTTTCACTGCTTGTAACAGGACATGAAATGCTTTAATATCAAGTTTGTCACGCTCAAAATTTAGAGAGGCGTAACCTCACGAGCCTAGTAAGGCCGAGCGTGCTGACGCCAAATGTACATCTCCTGAACCTGCTGAGTGTTTGGATTATTCTTTGGTAAGAAATGGAAGGATTTCCGTAGTGGGCCTTTTACTGAGCAAACGCGGGCGATTGCATTGAATTGAAGTTCCAATTGGTTTCGAATGTGAAGGTTGGCAGTTGAATTATTTATTTTCTTTCAACCAACTTCTATTTAAATGTGAAAGCCAGTAAACTACGGACTATAATTAAATATTCTGTTTCTGTTTGTGGGTATGCATTATTCTTCAAGATTGGCTCCACCAATTCATAACTTTCTCTGATTTGGTAGTGCTGATTCTGCAGCTATCCGTTTAATGCGCAAAAATTCTCATTAAAGGGATACAGAAATCTGGGAAGCAAGGAGAAAAAGAAGGTTTGAAAACAAAAATAAAATGTGAATATTTAAAGATACAGAGAAAAAGGTTAAAAATACTCCTCAACTTTCATTTAATAATTAGGTTACTCTTCGTTATACTATGTCATTATTTATGCCCTTGCCATTACGGAATTTGTTATCCGGACTCCTACTTGGACGGAATCACCATATCAACCAAAATTAATCCAAATTTCTTTTAAACGACTCATTCCCATTTGAAACCCATACCCGATCCTCTATCTTAACCCAATTAAAAACAAATCCATTTTCAATACCCATTTAACCCTATTTGCTGATGAAGTCTTCTTCTTCTTCTTCTTCTTTGATCTCAAAGAAACAGCGGAAACCATCTTGACAAATACCCCTCCATTCTCAATTCTTTTACTTCTAATTTGTTATTCTTCTTAATATTCACTCTGTTCTGCATAACTTGATTTTTTTCTCTGTTATTATCTATTAAGCATTCTTCTTGATATTCAAAGGATTTTGGCTGCTCAACAAAATCCAGCTCAAAACAAGATGAAGGCATGTTCTTGACCATTTTCATGAGCTCCCATTAGCCTCTAGCTATAGCTTGAGCTCTAGAACTCGAGAAAGAGATGGACAATTAATCAGATGGACTGGACTTCTTGGTGGACTATTTCTCCATAAGAGTGGTGAGGAAGCACCAGACTTATCATCATCTTCATGATCTTCCATTTTTTAAGCTCTAAATTGAACATTATTCCCATGTTTTTGTTATACTTGAAAATCAAAATTGTGAGGTTCCTAACTGTCATTTAAGTTTGTGACAGAAACAAGAATATGGCTATGGATTTTGGGTGTTTCGTTTTCTTGGATCAAGTAGGGTTTTAATGGACTAAATAAGAGAAAAAGCATTATTAAGTAAAAAATATGGGGACTATAATTTGTATAAATGAAAAACTTATAGCTATATAGTAAAGAATTACGATTAAATTTTTATTTTCAATTCTAGATGGGTTGTATACAAAGTTGTCAAAGTAGAGTTTTAAATTTTCTTTTGATGTTATAAGTCTCTTGCTCCATTGATATTGACTTAGACTTTGTCATTAACATCTTATTTGTTTGCACTTAAATGAAGGTGTTAATCTTTATCATTCAAATGTTAGCCATTAACTCTATCTGTGTTCAAGGTCAGATTGTTAATCATCCAAATTTTAATTATTAAGTGTGTTTGTTTTACAACCACTTAATAAGTCTGAATAGATTTGAATGATTAAGATATATAACCAAGTCTTAATATCATTAAAATGTCTATTTAAGAATTTCTACAAAGATGACAGTTCACGACTACTCTATCTACTTTCACCCACAACCACGATTTCAGCCATAATTATCACCCATCGTTAATCGCCACTACTGACCATCCAAAACCATCATCTCAACCTTATGGTTTCCACAGTGTGCATTACACAAGTGATACTAATAGGTAGTAAACATGCATGCATACATACAAACCATCATCTATATATCAATGGCCCAATACTATGCCCCATTATGAGTACACATTACCCCCCCCCCCCTCCCCCACCCTTCCTAATTATCATAAGTTTCAGAAATAATCATAACCCATCAATTTCATAATATACTTGACCTTACAATCTGTTACGATCCAAAATGCACCCTAGACGTGACATGGCGTATAAGACCCCGAGAGGTCCTACACAAGCCACTTGATATATATACAACATAACATAATAGAAAATACGAGAAAGTTTAAGCAATAAGTCTCATATCATAAAAGAGTTTGACATAAGAGTGGAAGTCTAATCATAGTCTTGACAAGCTAAAAAACATCTTGAAAATCCTTTTTAGGAAGAATCATAAATCATGAACATCGTCAATGCATCTTAAAACATAATAAAAGTTGCATAAAACCTTTGAGAGAAACTTAGTTTGTTTTGTGGGATATTAGCTTTAACCGGCAATAGAACATGCGAGCTATGACATGGAATTCGATGTAACTTCTACACCGAGAAGGGAGAGTCTACTAGCCAAGGTAGAACTCCGTATCATTCATTAATGTGCTATTTGTGGATTCACTAGCTAGCTAGGTCATTTAAGACAATCTTACAGGGGCACGTAGTTTGGAACTAGAGGTTGCTACTAGAGACTACCATATTTGAGCCTCCACCTCAAGTTCTCTCGGTGCTAAGTTAAATCCCAACGGAATAGATTAAGTCAATTATCAAAATATAAAATTAAGATAGGCAATAATCAAGATACCAATTCAAATCATGAAGTCATCATAGAGTTGCTCCTTTAATCATGAATCATGCATGTGTGATATAACCTTTCACAAAATCATGATTCCTTAATATGTGAGAAAACCTTTCACAATTTCTTTGATGCTTATCTTAAAAGCATCCTTAGATCATAAACATAGTTTACATCATAAATTATACATTACTATTAGATCATAAACCTATGGTCCTTAGGACTTTCTACGGCCCGTACTGCTCAACAGTAGATCCAACTTTAGAAATCTAAAATTCATTCAACTTCCCACGAAACCAATCTACGATCCTTCGTTCATTCTACGGTCCGTAGACTTCTTCTGTAGACCCCGAGTTCAAGTCCAAAATTTCACCAAGTCTGAATCACTTCTACGGATGTCATCTACGACCCGTCCAAATTCCTACGGCTCGTCTTGGCTACTCGTAGGTCAAACTTCAGAAACTTAAATTTTCCATAAACTTAACTCAACTCAACTCTACAACTTTCCTTATATGGCTCGTAGGCCTGCCTACGGTCCCTAAATAGGAATCATAGTTACTGCCTCAGTAAATTTCCTGCACTTTTTCTTTCCAACTTGACTTTCCCACCAAGCCACCTTGACAAAAAGATCCAAGGTTAATAATCAAGAGCTAGAACCCTTAACCATTCAGACTGCCAGAAGACCTAGACATGAAACCTCCCGTTAATCTACAAAATACCATGCAATAAAAATAGTCTAAACCTAGCCTACCTAGTGTCACGTCCCGCCACTTCACAGTTCAAATTTGGCACCGAAAGAAGGGGGAATAATCTAGAGTTGTGGGGAGGTTAGTGGAAGACTCTAGAATTCCCTAGATCTTTCCTTAGAATTCTCTAGAATAACTTAGAAGATATCTTGGAAAGCTTTAGAATTTCCTAGAATTAGTAGAGAATTCTAGAGAGGGACCAAATTGTAAATAGTTTAGGGACTTGTAAAGTAATTTTAAATTACACTTTATCCCCTAGGTAGTAGTATAAATAGAGGTGCCATTCATTTGTAAGGCATCAAGCAAGTTGTAAAGCATTCTTCCAAGCTAATACAAAAGCCTTCTTCAAAAGCTCTCTTATTCTTTCTAAATCTTTCATTTCATTCTCTTAGCGATCTTAGTCTTAAAAGGCTTACTTGAGCTTCCAAGATCGTGAAATATTTGTGAGTAAGTTGTCAAGTGCCGCACGGAGCTTTAGTGAGACTTTAAGTTCATGACAATGTGGTATCAGAGTGAGGTTTGCACTAAGGGAATGGCCAACGAAGGAGACGTGAACGTCGCTAGCACCACCAACATCCGTTCGGAGGGAGGAAAGAAAAAACCACAAGGGAAAGAAGCACCAAAAGGGTAGTGAGGAAATGCTGCTCGACCCCACACCAAGCGAGGCACTAAAATCTCACCCACCTTCGACCACCGAAGCAAGTGACGATGAACTTGGCCAGGAGGCCATCGACGTCACCACTAAAGAAGAATGGGTCGCAAGGATTGAAATGGCAAGGTAGGCCGTGGAGATATTAGGCCGGTGTTTGAATGTGGCCGATGGCAAGTTTAAGACCCTCGAGCACTTCACCCTTGAGGTGACTGAAAACCTTTATAAGGAGTTGGAAGGGCGCCAGCATGCCGAGTTCGAGATGAATGAGGCTATCACTT